TGGAAGAACAAGTGGGCCCTCCTCCTACAGCAAGGCTTGCAGGAAGACTGCCACAGGAGTTCAAGGCCAGCCTGGGTCACACAGCAAGTTCCAGCAATCCTATATCAAAATTCCAGAAACAACAACTTCCCTCTTCCCCGCGTGCCCCCCCCCCCCCCACAAATTGAGACAGAATTAAAAATAAGCAAACAATCTTTTGGGGAGTTATGCTTCAGCACTTGTTCAGGAGCAGGTGCTCTCTGCCCATGTTTACCATGTGGGCCCTGGTAAACGAACTCTGGCTATCAGGCTTAGCAGCAAGAGCCTTTAGCCACTGGCCCATCTCACAGGCCCACAATCTGCATTTTAAACAAGCACTCAAAGTGATTCCAAAGTGGGAAATGTAAGATTACATCTTTTTCCACACTGATTTAGAAAGCTGTACACCAAAGCCTTAGTAGTAGTCAGTCTTTTCTACATGGCAAGATTTCCAGTTGACTGGGGAAACGCAGAGTTAACTAGAAAATAAAAAAAAGACAAAAACAACAACAAAAACAAAGTACAACTTTTCCCCCCCAAAAGTAAAATACTACTTAGAATCAAAGAAAAGAAGGTCTTACCATAAAATCCATACACCTGTGTTATCTGTCTACTCTCATGATTTCCTCTTAAAAGTGTAATACGATCAGGCCATTTAGCCTTTAGTGCAAGAAGATAAGTGAAGGTCTCCAAACTATAGTAACCTCTGTCTACAAAATCACCCTGTAAAGTAAAAGTTTACAGTTACAAACCATTCAATAGCTGTAAGAGCCCAAAAGAAACAATAACAAGGAGCTGCACATTGTTTTTAAAAAAATAATTTCTTAAAAATTATTTAGAAACAGGAACTGTTTCTCTAGAAGCATGAGGGGCTTCGAGTCCCTAGTACACATATAAAAAGATGGCCACACGCAAGCACTGCGGACTGAGACAGGTGAGGTCTTGATGAAACCTACTGAAATCCAGAGGGTTTCTGGTTCAATGAATGCCTCTGTTCTCAAGGCAATAAAGTGGAGAGAAAGCCTAGTCTACCTAGAAAGCTTCAGGTCAGCCAGGACAATGTGGTGAGATCCCCTCATAAAAAAGAAAAGAAAAAACCCGAACTGCCCCCTCCCAACCTTACAAGTATGAAATACTATTTACACTTGGGACAATACCGCACCACTGTTCAGGAAATAGCTTTACAAAATAGCAATACACAGCTGGAGACGTGCCATCTGTGGTTTTCCCAGAGGACCCAAGTTTTACTCCCAGTACCCATACAGTAGCTAATAATCATTTGTTTAACTCCAGTTCCAGAGTATCTGACACCCTCTTCTGGCCTCCAAGAAAACAAAGCATGCATGGGGTATATAGACATAAATGGCAGACAAAACATCCATACACATTAAAAAATAATAATAGATTAAAAAACTTAAAATACTACTAATAATTAGAAAGGTGACAGGGAACTTTGCAATGACATTCGTTCTTGCAAAGGGCCCAAGTTCGATTCCTAGCACCCAAATAGTGGTTCACAACCATCTGTAACTCATGTTTCATAGGACCCAATACCCTCCTCTGACCTCTACAGGCAGAAGGTATACATGTGGTGCAGACACACATTCAAGCAAAACACTCATACACATAACAGTAAGATAAATCAATCTTCAAAAAATTTCTATCAACAGGCTGGGAAGATAGCTTAGTGGAAAAAGTACCTGCCTTCCAGGTATGAGCCTCTACCTAAATTCAATCCCCAGAATCCACATAAAAACATGGTGCTATGTGCTGGCAACCAGTACTGAAGAGGCAAAGGCAGGCAGAACCTGGGGACTTCTGGAGAGCCAGCCTAGCCTACTTAGGGAGTTCCAGAGTAATGAGAGACTTTGTTTCAAGTACAGGTAGATGACACCTAAGTAATGAACAACAGCCAAGGCTGTTTAATGGCATGTACATACACAAACATGTGCATGTGCCACACACACACACACACACACACACACACACACAAATTCAGAAAATTTCAACATTATATTAAAAAAGCAGAGTAAAAAAAAATCCACCATAATAACAAGTGTATATTAGAAAAAAGTATACCAAACTATACCTTTGTGTATTCACCCATCCACAGTATAAACCAGGGGTTCTATGTGGTCCTCCTGCCATTACTGGTAGGCATAACTCAGTCCTATTTGTACAGTAAGTTTACAAATATAGCAATTATATTTAAGTAGAAGACATGACAAAATATAGAGAAGACTCACCTTTTCATACATTTAAATAGCAATTATTATAGAATTTACGTAAAGTAAGCCAGAGCCTTTTGATTTTGAATAAGCACTTGATATCACTAGTGTTTACATACCATAAATATATAGTTTGTGTCAGGAACCTGACCTCCAGTTCTGAACAGTTCACAAAGATCATAGAACTGTAAAAGAAAAGCAATATATGCTGATTATAAATTCCTGTGAAAAAGTTAAGATAAATTGTGAATGTGACATGTGAAGAAACAGACTTCAAATATTTACATTTGTAAGAAGAAATAAAGTATTGGTAAAACTGCCATGATTTAATTCCCAAACCTTAAAAGGCCTTGAAAAAAAATACACATAAGCTAAGGTACTGCTTATATTAACCTTCTTTGTGTAACAAAATGCAAATGTCAATTATATCGGTGAGGCAAGTTACAAGGAAACTTAAGAAATCCATTCTCTAAAGTTTACTCTACAGACTGCTAACAGATCAAAGATCATGAGGCTTCTATTTAGGAGCTGGCATTACAGATGTCAGGCTTATTATAACCTCATCATCCAGAAAACTGCTTGAAAAAGCAAAAAGAAAATGGCTTTGTAAGTAGTCAAAATGGTTTTTATTTATGAAGCAGCCTCTATTTAGGGCCAATTTAGATACATTTCTGTTCCTATATACCATGACATCAGGGAGAGAACTTGCAGTTAGTCAGCTGTGTGGTAGAGCGATTCTTCACAGCACTTTCCAGGTTCTACAGTCCCAACCACACTGGATGTACACAGCAGGCTATGAACTAGCTTTTTAGCTTTTAGTTCCCAGTGACAAACTTCTACAAGGTCAGGTAAACACAGCACAGAGACAGAACACTAACAGTAGGGTCTAATGCTAAGTTGTATCCTCTAGTCAGTGCTTTGGAATTCTTATAAACAAAAGCAAGCAGATAGGGGCTGAAGAAATGGCTCAGTGGCTAAGAGCATATACCGTTCTTCCTGAGGACCAGTGTTTAATTACTGGTACTTATCCAGTAATTAGCTCATTACCACCTGCAATTCAAACTCTAGGGGATTCAACTCCTCTGGCTTCTATGGGCGCCTCACACATGCATATTACACAACACACATACTTAAAAATAATAAATAAAATTAAAAATATGAAAAAAATAAAAGTCAGCAGGTATTCGAGGTCCTACAGTCCCATCAAAGAAATGGACTAAATATTTTTCATCTCATTCTATCAGTGACTTGCTATAAAATCTTGCAACAATTTGCTTTTCTGAACTTTTGCTATTCTCATTCTTACTAAAGAAATGAGCAGATTCTAATAAGACATTGATGAATGAACAAGATCAAAGCATCTCTTGTTAACTATAATTTCTATGAGCACCTATTCTTATATTTTGCATCTTTCACCATCATGGAACACCCTACACACAACAACACAGCAGTGCATTACACTTTACAAGTAGAATTCAAAGTTCGTGAGATATTTGACTACTGCTTTTATTTGTCAGTACAGTGAACCTGGAACCAGGCATGGCATGAGGACCAACACCACCTAATCACCAGTTGGGTGTGTTTTATTTTGCAGCACAAGTTAGAAACAAATGGATCACTGACTCTACAAACCCTAAAACTTCCTTGTGAAAATTACCTGTCCGTGTATGTCCCCACACACTGTTACTGGTGTTGACACTGGCTGAACATTCGACTCTTCCAAGAGCAGATCGCAAACGTAGTCACACAGCCGCTGAAAGGAAAGAGGGAAGAAAATGTCAACTTTCACGACAATATTAAAACTAAGGATTAAATACAAAAAAAATTACAAAGACTAATATTTAGAGAAACTAAGCCTCTCCTTTAAAAAATATTTTATATGCATGATTATTTTGCCTGCATGTACCACTTGCATGCCAAAGAAGGCCTCAGGTCCCCTGAAGCTGGAGTTAACTTGAGTTAATATATGTGCTGGGAGCTAAACCCAGGTCCTCTACAAGAGCAAAACAAGTACTTACTGTTAACCACAGAGCCAACTTTCCAGCTCTCCCAACCCCAAGTCCTTTCTTTGATAGGTAAGAAAATTGTATCATACATTCAATCAGTAATAAAGAGATTTTTAAAAAAATTATCAGATAAAAACACATGCCTGAGGAGAAAACAAGATCTGGTACAGCACCATTAAGACCTGAGTAGGAGAGTGGGGCGGTGGTGGCACAGTCTTTAATCCCAGCACTTGGGAGGCAGAGGCAGGCAGATGTCTGTGAGTGTGAGGCCAGCCTGGTCTGCAGAGCGAGTTCCAGGACAGTTAGGACTGCTGCATAGAGGAACCCTGTCTCAGAACAAAGAGAGAAAAGGGGGGCATTGAGTGGAAAAAGACCCATGCACCTGCCTGCCCCTGACAGCGAGGAGGAAATATATGGCGGAGGGAGGGGGGAGAGGCAGATTTGAAGAGGTGAAGGTGGTCAGGACCAAGCTAGTGTGAGTGGCCTGCTTACTACCTGGGCCAAGGCCTGGGTACACAGCCAGTCTATGTTTACATACATGACTCCTGTTACTACTGGGCTGAGAGGATAGCATTGCAGAAAATTGGCCCCGCTCCTCACTGGCTGCAGCGCTCAGGAGACTGGGTCCTGCACTTGCCTGGGCAGCACAATCAAGCTGACCTTGTTCACAAGGGTTTGTACGTGAGCTGTCCTGAGGGCATGAGAATGGGAGAGTTGGTTTTGTCCCCCTTGTCTGCCACAAGGTGGCATGGATGAGGGAAAGATGCCCTCCCCACCTTGTTCCCCTCCATCTGTGGCAGGTAAGTGAGCTGACCCAGCACCTTGCCTGGGCAGCACAGTAGAGCTGACCTTGTTAATTAATAAGTGCATGGGTGAGCTGTCCCAACATCTGAGTGTTGGGACATATAACACATTAACTAAATGTAATTAGAAAAAAAGTCAGGTGTGGTAGCACACACCTTTAATTTCAGCATTCCAGGGGCAGAGGCAGAAGGATCTCTTTAAGTTCCAGCCAAGACAGTCGGTCTATACAAAGAGTTCCTGGCCGCCAAGACCACTGCCTTAGTTAAGGTGTTTACTGCTGTCATGAGACATTATGACCACAGCAACTCTTATAAAGAAAACATTTAATTGGGGTGGTTTGATTACAGTTTCAGAGATTAAGTCCATTATCATCATGTTGGAGAGCATGGCAGGCAGACATGGTGCTGGAGCAGCTAAGAGTCCTACATTTTGAGGCAACAGGAAATCAAATGAGACACTGGGCAGTATTCTGAGCATAGGGACCCTCAAAGTTCGCCCCCACAGTGTCCTCTAACAAGACCGTATTTGCTCTAACAAAGTCACATTTCCTAATAGTGTCACTCTCCATGAACTTATGGGAGCCAATTATATTCACACTACTACAACCATGTAGCGAGAACCTGTCTCAAAACAAACAAAAACACACCCTCCCCCCAAAGAAAAAAGCAAGCAAGCAAGCAAGGGGCTAGATGTGGGTGGTGTGGTTGCTGGGCTCCCAGGAACAGAGGGACTGTAGTGGACCATTATTCACTTGACTGGCTTGCAGGGTTCCCTGTAGAGTCAGAGAAGATGCTGGAGGCAAAGACTTAGGCTGCAGAGAATTCTTGGAGTATAGCCTCACAGATAAAGCTGACAGGATACTCAAAAATGAGATTAATGCAAAAAACCAAACCAAACCAAAACAAAACAACAGAACGGATCTACAGTCATTGCTAACTTGTTCCTCTGTGGATCAGACAGCAGTACTTATCTTATTACAGGGACTTGCTGAGCTTGCAAAAGAAAGACCATCAAATTCCACCAAGTTCCTACATTTGGTTGCTACTGTAGCTTTACATTATTATAAGGTAGCTTTAATTGCCATGATTCTCCTCCCCACTCTGGAAATTAAAGAACCTGCAGGACAGCAGAACTCATTTCTGGAGCTGCAGAAGGGTACATACCCTCCCTTCCCCTGATCTCATTTAATCATTTTATTTATTTAATGAGTATCTAACTGAATGAGTATCATCTGTGTACTTTTTTTCTCAAATTGCTTATTACTTTATTTTATTTTCAAAATAAACTCCTAAATTTGGAATGTATGGCAGCTCACAGCCTCACAATCACCTATTATACCAGGGCCCCCTAGGGCACAGGTATGTATGAGGTGTACAGACATACATGAAAACAAAACACCCATATACATCAAATAAAAAATTTTAAATGGCAACAAGAGGGATTGTTCTTGTGTAAGGAGGTGCTCTTGGCACTGTCTTGGGACTCAGTTCACTCACCATGGAAGGAAGCAGGTGAATATGGCCTGGGTGAGAGTAACACAGTGCTTTATAACGCTTGTCAGCAGGGAGTCTCTCTCCAGAAGCTCCACTACAAGATGTGAAACATGTCTGAATTTAACATCTTTGTTATTGAAGGAGAAACACGAAATGGCTGTATACTAAACGCTGTGTGTCACCAGAGGTCTCTAGGATTATTAAATATGGTTTTACTGGGGGCAGAAGAGATGGCTCAGTGGATAAAGGCACTTGTTGCCAACACTAAAGACCCGAGCTTGATCCCCAGAACCCACATGGTGGAAGGAAGAGAACTGACTCTTGCAAGTTGTTTTCTGCACCTTGATACATGTATACACACAATAAAAACAAATTAATTTTAATTAGCTGGGGGTGATGGTGATGACATGCATCTTTAGTTCCAGCATTTGGGAGGCAGAGGCTAGACTGGTCTACATAGTTGAGTTCTAGGTTGGCTAGGGGTACACAGTAAGACCCTGTTTTAAAATATGAGCTAAATAAAACAGAGAGATGGCTTCAGTGCCTCAAAACTCTGTGTCAGTCCTGGGTACAAGCTCATCTCTTAGGTATAGTTACAGGCACTTTGTTCCTAAGAAGTAGGAATGAGAAGAGTCTGATAAATATGTTATCTCCCTTGTGGTTCTCGGACATGTTTTCATGTTCTTTTCATGTATCTGGGATTACCCTGGATTATTTTTGGTTTAAATTTTATAGAACCTGATTTATAAACATTAACTATGGATTCCACTCTAACTGTAGAAAGGGGTATTTCTCATTGGAGGAAAGCATTAGGTGTAGTAGTTCTCTCATTTAAAATGTGTATGCACTTCTAGTCTGTAAATGGAGTTTGGTTAAGAGTTCTTTCAAGTCTAGAACAGTACAGTAAACTGATTAAGAACAGAGGTTATTGAAGCAGAATGAATTGCAGTCAGATCTCGATCTCATTGCTGACATAACTCTATGACCTCTCATAAGTACTTTAAGCTTACAGCAAACCTCAAGCTTTTTGGAGCTAAATGGCGGATAATAAACACATTCTTCATAAGTAAACATTTGGGTAAGGAGTCAGTCTAAACTCAGCACTGCAGAAGAAAAGATGCAGAACAGGGAGGGACGAGCAAAAGTGCTTTCCACTGTGGGCGACCCTCAGTCCTCTGCCACCTCCTCCGGGGTCACATTTCAAAAGACAGAAGTGTACAGAGTTCATTACTGAACACTGCTTAACACATCAGACTGCAAATGCTGCTTTTCATTAATATGGAAACCTAACATAATTTTAATTAACGTAGTGACTTCTTTGGTAAGATTGGGTGGCAGGAGGATGTAAAAACTGTACTAACTTTATCTGTCGGGGACAAGAACTGTAAAATTTACTCAACTAATTTTGGAAAATAATACTGATATTAAAATTATTGCCACATCAGCTATTAAAACATATTCTAAGGCCATTGTAATTAAAGTAGTTTGATAAAGGAATGAAGTGATCGGTACAATAGAAGATTTTAAAGGTAAATGCAAATATAAAAAGTTTAGAATATACTTTAGGCAGGACTAAGGACGTAGCTCATTTGGCAGAGCATCTGCCGAACACATGTGTTTGATCCTCAGCACGGTATAAACTGGACACACTGGTGCTCCTTATAATCCCAGCACTTTGGAGGTAGAAGTAGGGAATGAGGACTTCAAGGACATCTTCAATTATATAGTTGGAGATTAACCTGGGCTATGTGAGACCTTGTCTCAAAAAACAAAAAAATAAAAACTAAAATTAAAAATAATCACTGCCTAAGTTGTTGACTTCAGTTTCAATTCTTCCTTCCTTTCTCTTCTTTTTAAGGCTAGGGAGTTTCTAGAGCCCCGGCTGTCCTGTAAATCCCTATGTAGACCAGGCTGGCCTTGAACGCACAGAGATCTACCTGACTGCCTCCTGAGTGTTGGGATCAGAAGTATGCAACATCATGTCTAGCCTTAGTTTCATATTTTAAAAGTCACTAAATTAACTTTGTCTTAGGATTAAGACATAATTTCCAACATTTTCTGAAACAGTCCTGTCATTCTGTAATACATAACTATGTAGCGGCATTCTTATTATAAAATCAAAATATCCATCAATGCTGAAAATGTTGTTTTATAATATCAAATATTCAAGCACAACTTATAAACTTATAGACTTAAAAACAAGCACATCCACTTCACTAGTATACAAATTTTCTTTCATTTTAGTAAGCGGTAAAATTACATGGACACCAAATGACTTATTATTAATATTATTATTATTAGTAGTAGTAGCAGCAGCAGCAGCAGTAAGTTTGGTTTTTTTGAGACAGGGTTTCTCTGTGTAGTCCTGGCTGTCCTGGAACTTGCTCTGTAGACCAGGCTGCCCTCAAACTCAGGGATCCACCTGCCCCTGATTCCCGAGAGCTGGGATTGAAGGTGCATACCACCACATCTGCCTGACTTCTAAGGACTTGTTTTAAGGTGATTTTAAAAGTAATTTTTATAATTATGAGTAAAAATGTCTAACTCATATAATTATAGATCTGTATATCCGGGGTTTCATAAAGCTCTTGGACAAAAAAAGAGTTGTGAATGAGAAGGTTTAGAAGCCCTGATCTAGAATGGCCTGTTTTCACTCTCATACTACCCTCCTTTTCTACTGTTTCCTTCCCCTCCGAAATTATACTTTAATGCCGTGCAAGCAAACTGTAGTAATATGTTTTCATTATTGAATAAAGCCTCTATGGAGTTTGTTACTATGTGGACTATAAACAAGACACACAAGATACTGTGACTAAACAGTTTTAGGGAAGACCTAAGGGAGGAATGTCTCTGTTCCCTCTATCCGGGTCAATGATTACCCTGAGTAGCTCCTGGTTTTATTATCTTAAAAACTTTAGTTCTTCCTGGTGGTGGTGGCACACACCTTTAATCCCAGCACTCGAGAGGCAGAGGCAAGGCTATTTCTGTGAGTTTGAGGCCAGCCTGGTCTACAGAGCGAGTTCCAGGAGAGGCTCCAAAGACATACAGAGAAACCCTGTCTCAAAAAACAAATAAAAAAAAATTAGTTCTATCCATCACACAAACAAACAAACAAACAAAAAATTAGTTCTAAAATTAGTTTCTAGAAATGCTTATGTATCTAATCTTTAGGAAATGACCTGCTCATTGCACCTTTTATTTTATATACCATATATATTTTATACTTTCACTGCTGGCTTCATCTTAACTTATTTTCTGACTTATTTTTCTTTTATTCTATTTTACTGCTCTATTGAGCACACCTTTGGAAAACACTCACTATCCTTTCTGTAACAAAACAAGTTATCATTTGATAAACATTTGAAATGGATCATAATCCTAAGTGAAATCCCGAAAGGCTCCATGTTTCCCACATTCTAATATGCCAGAATTTATGCCCAACTGAGACTGATCTAGTCTGTAACCAACTCCTGAACTGCTTGTTAGTCCTGATCTACAATCCCTGCACCATAAACTAAAGAACATCAAGCAAGAAACCTTGTCAATTTCAAAGGCTAAGTGTCTGGAGAAGACATGTCATCTACTTAGGCAGGACCCTTTATCCTTCATCCAACCCTAAACAACTCTAAATAGCAACCAGGTATGCTATTTAGAGTGCAATTTTAACTGCCGCCTATGAATGCTGGTTCTGCAGATCCAAATGAGCATTTAGACAGCAATGCCCTTAAGCCCTTTAAAACACTGCCTTTCATCTCTTTGATTCAGCAGGAGCTTCCAGTTAGGGATATAGCCCAGTGGCAGAGAACTGCCTACCAGTCAAGGGGCCCTGGATTCAATCTCCAGCATTACAACGCTTCTGTTAGTAGCACGGAAGTTCCTATCAAGTACCCACAAATAAAGAAAAGTCTATGAAACTTCAGTATATACCCTTTGCAGGTCAGCAACTTCACCAGCAGTGGTCTCACAGAGCCCAGGCACATTGGGCATGACACAGATTGCCCTTTCCTAAAAGCCTTCAGAGCTTTGTTTAGTGTTTTGTTTGCAGAAAACATTGTTCCTCCTACTGTTCAAAATGGTCACAATCTGGGGCTGGAGAAATGGCTCAGAGGTTAAGACACTGACTACTCTTCCAGAGGTCCTGAGTTCAATTCCCAGCAACCACATGGTGGCTCACAGCCATCTGTAATGAGATCTGCTGGCCAGCAAGCATACAGACAGAACACTGTATAATAAATAAATAAATAAAGGTCACAATCTAAAAAACAGATTCTTGGTCTTATCTCAAACTCAGGAAAATTATGTTCCTCTCCCTATTCATGTTCAGTTAATTATCCTAGAACAATAACAGATTTGTGATCCCACTTTCAGGATCTGATTTCTCTTCTCTACTTCTTCCTCAAAATACACATTGTCTCCCTCCCATTCTATCCTCTGCCCCATCTCTGTATTCCCTCTTGAGCTTCAAATATATTGTTCTTTTTTGTTTGTCTGAGATAGGATCTCACATGGCTCAGGTTCTTTATGTAGCTGAAGACTACCTTTGACTTGTGATGATCCTGCTGCCTCTACTTTCTAGGTGCTGGTGTTACAGGGCTTTGCCATTACACCTGTTTTTATGACAGTTATGTACCATTCCAGTCCAGGGTCCAAAATGTTGCTAGAATGTTATTCTAAAACCTCCCTTT